TCCGAACCACCGATTTTGTGACACAGTTTTGGGTGGATTTGTGAGTTTCTGAAAACAGCAAAGTCATCGGTATTTACGGTGGTTTCTATGTGTTTTACATACCCAAAAAAGACGGAGGTAGATCATGGGGGGGGGGCTGACCATATATATATATATATATATTCATATATAGATAGATACAGGTATAGATATAGATATCGACATAGATACAGATGCTCAGAAATAGGTCCAGTTAACAGATACAGATAGAGATATAGATATAGGTATAGTTACATTACATTACATACATACATACATACATACATACATACATACATACATACATATATATATATATATATATACATATACATGCGTGCATGCGATATGACGGCGATATACCTCAGTCATTCGAGCTTAGGTTGCCGATCCTGACAAACTTAGCAGTAGCAAGTACATGAAACATTAGGGTTTAGGGTTTAGGGGTTTAGAGTTTAGGGTTTAGGGTATTACTCCTGAGCCTCAGAGCTGCACTCTGGGAACTACAGGAAGGTCCATGGGCAGAAACTTCATTCATCAGGCATGGACGAGATCAACGGGCCCACCAGGTATCGAAGGGCATGCCCTGCATACCTACCCAAAATCCTATTATCTCTAATTAAGCCAAAAACTGTAAGCCGTGAAACCCGAACCGTAACATACGCGATTCGTTGCAAACTTTGCACCATTTGCAGGCCGAGGAGGCCATTCAGCAGGCAGGTCTGCAGTGGATCTTGTGCGCTGACATCAAGTCCCTTACACTTGAACTTTCCCCTTAAGGGTCCATGTGCCCAGATAGTAATATACATAGGCATTAAAGTAGTCCCTATATAGGTACTTGGGGGCCAAAGTATATACTATTTGGGTACGTGGACCCTGAATAAATTGATAAAGGGAATCGACGGTGCATTGCTTGAAGACTCCTGGCACCAGGTCCTCCTTAGCCGCCATAGAACGAAGTCTGCAATGAGGGATCAGTGTTCATACCCTAAACCCTAAACCCCTAAACCCCTAAACCCTAAACCCTAATGGCTTGAAGGGTCCATAAGAAGCAGCCTTTCTCGCTGGCCCTGGCTTCTCCCCATGTTGGGCATCTAACAAGTCCTGGTGTTACTCGCATCTCAGGAACTACCATGGAAACGGAAAGCCCCTCACCCCAAGTCTCAAATCCTTTCTAAGGCATGTGAGGTATGGTTACGTAATGTCTGGGATTTCATGAGTGTATATAGGACTCCTCCGGATGTTGGTAGGTGCATTCTTCGGGTTTTAGTCTAAGGGAGACGAAGAAAAAGGCTTACATCATATTATGATGTAAGCCTTTTTCTTAATCTCCTTAGATTAAAACCCAGAAAGGGGCCTAGAGAGATTGTATCAAACAGTCTCTTCAAACCTCGAGGCCCGCTCAGAGCAGCTAAGAGCGATGCTGGAGGTTGAAGAGACCAAGAAGCAGGCAGACCAGGGCCGACGTCGGCCTTTTCGGGTAAGTACTGGCAGGGCCGTTTTGTAGAGCTTCAGCGGCTAAAGAGTTAGGCTCTTGAAGATTGGGGGTTTCAGGGCCCAGTTATGAGGGGGTTTAGGGTTTAGGGTTCCTAAACCCTAAACCCTAAACCGGGTTTATTGAATTAGAATGTTGAATGCCTGCCTCGGGCTACTTTAAGTCTGCTTGAGGCTTAGGTGTTACGCCTCGAGGATTGGGGAGGTCGTGGCAGTTTAGGGTGTCCCCTAAGGGTTTAGGGTTTAGGGTTGAGGGTTTAGGGTTTAGGGTTTAGGGCCCAAATAGTATATACATAGGCCTTAAAGTAGTCCCTAAAAGGTACTTTGGGGCCAAAGTATATACTATTTGGGTACATGGACCCTTAGGGGTCTGGATTTCAGTTGTCTGGGGCAAGTGTTGTTAATTGGAGGGGAAAGGTGAGAAATATTTGGCCGATGGGCTCAAGGTGGCCCGCCAAGTGGCATGCATGGACTGTGGTCTAGAGAGTCTAGCGTGAGCCTTTTAGGATCGTTGTCGCTGACTCTACTGACTAATGACTCCCGGCCTTTTGCCGGTTCAGGGATTAGGGTTTAGGGTTTAGGGCCTAGCCGATACCGCTGGCAAGGTACAGGTGACTTTGGTAAACTAGGCAGTGTGATCAGTGGAAGAGAAACCACGACAACGAGCAACAATCACAGTTTCCAAGCACCGATTCCCAGCCTCAGGAGCAATATCGTCAACTTCTTCATATGCTTTCTAGAGGAGTATAGGTGTCTCGACAAAGTAGGAGCTCGCATACACCAAGTTCCTGTGTCTGTGGGTCTGATCGAGTCTGACCCCTTTTTGATCAGGTCGCACTGTTGGTTTAGGGTTTAGGGTTTAGGGTCTGAACTTGCCTACCTGCTCCTGTCCCCTTTGCCAGGCGCGTGCTGAGCAAGAGAAATTTTTCCGAGAGGCCGAAGAGGCCAAGAAGAAGGCCCCTGAGTAATTATGCATAACTATTCGTATCGTTGTAGTATCTACAGGGTATAGACATAGACATAGTTTCGGCATATAAAATATAGTATCGTTTTGGTATCTTCATCGTTTCTATATAGTATCCTATACTGCTTGTATAGTATCTGTATAGCTCGGCAGCTTTCAGCGCTTTAGCTATTTTAGGTTCGGAGTCTTCGGCAACTTCACGTCCTGGAGGTAGCGGACGCAAGGTCCAGGTCAGAACTGGATACTACAACATCCTGTAACATTCCATAAGATACTATGAATAACCCTTTAAAAACCTAATAGCATACACTGACATAAACAAGCTGAAGCCGTACCGTGGCCCTCTGAGCAGAGGTCCGCCGTACACCCCTCTTTAAAAGCCGGAGCACTTGAGGCTTAGGGTTTAGGGTTTTGTGCTTATCAACGAGAAAAGGTTCAAACCCTACAGGGGTTCTCTGATTGAGAAATATTTGATAAACCATCAAAGAGTTGATAAAGCGTCACCAAGTTCCATGAAAAAAGCAGAACCTTGTACACACATGAAGTCTGAATAAGCAGCGCACGGCAGCGCAAGAGCCAGCAAAACCCTGCAGCAATGTTATTTCAGAAAATATTGTGGAACTCGGTAACACCCTGGAAATCGTCTCATCAGGCTCGCGAAGAGCAAGAGCAGTACCTGCGCGAAGCTGCGGAGGCGAAGCAGAAGGCACAACTGTGGTAACTTTGTGTTCCGTCAAGGTTATCTATAAGGTTTATATGGGAAATTATACTATTCCCCAGGGCTCCACTTGCCGAAATCATGGGTTCATTGCTGGGTTACATATTTTAAGCAACTGGAGCACTACGGATGGAGTCAGGGGTTCCGCATTCTGGGGTTTAGGGTACTAGGGGTTAGTGTCTGTGGTTGGGGCTTTTTCATTTTTTTAAGTTTTTGAGATTTTGGGTCTTAGGGTTTATAGGGTTGCAGAGTGCAGAGCTTTGGGTCCAGGGTTTAGATCATGGTAGGTACGATTCCAGATTTTTCGGAAAAAGGCCACTCTTGATTTTGAGTGGCAACTGAGAAAGACTAAAGAGAGACTTGGCGGAGTCATGTCGAGTTCTTACCTGATACCTTGGCAGGCTCGCGAAGAGCATGAGAAGTTCCTCCAAGAGGCCGAAGAGGCCAGCAAGAAGGCAAGTCCGTCCCAGAAACTCCCGAGAGACTCCCAAACCCTTAATCAAGGAACATGCCTTAATCTTGAACAGGAACCCTACTTCCCTAATTCCCTAAAGTCTAAACCCTAAACCCTAATGAGGTTTGGGGTTTAAGGGTTTTGGCGTCTTCGGGTGTGTACAAGATGCTGAACCCTATAGTCCCAGCGTTCGGTGGGACATTTAATGCAGGCATCTCCCAAGATGCCTTACCCAGAGAGTCCAGCTCGCCAAATACTACATGCCTTGGCCCCCCGTACCTATATTATAGGGACTACTTCCATGCCAAAGTATATAGTATTTGGGCACATTTAGACCCTTAGGGTTATAGAAAGCCCCGACAAGCTTGACCCACTCCCCCACATCAAAGTCAACGCCACTCGCCGAACCTGAAGCCCTAAACCCCCACCCCTCAACTTACACCCCAAAGCCCTAAACCCAAGCCCCCTCAACCCCTAAACCCTAAGCCCAACGCCTTAAACCCTAAACCCTACAGCACTACAATCCCTGCAATCCCGGTGATCCCGAAGCCTTCACTCTGTGGGTCCGAGGACGTATTAATCTTATGTGGGTAGCTTTCTAAATAGGGGTCCTTTTTTTAGGTCCACAATATAGTGCGGCACCCTTATAAAAAGCACCCTAAAAGGGGACCTTAATTTAGAGAACTACCCATACATATATATATATATATATATATTATAATATATATATATATATATATGTATATATATCCTCCCAAATACTAGCCTAGACCTACAAGGCTCTCCGAAACCCGATCTCTAAGCCCTATACTCTAAGCGCGAAGCCCTAGACCTTACACCCTCAGCCCTTTCCCCTAAGCCCTAAACCGCCTAAGCCCTATATGCCTTAATTAACTTTGCACCCTAAACCCTATACCCTATATAACCTATATACCCTAAACCCTATGCCTTAATCAAGCCCTAAACCGTTCAATTGCAGACAAAGCTGGAGAATCCCTAAACCCTAAACCCTAACCCCTAAACCCCTAAGCCCTAGTTATTAGGCACTTGGACCCTAAACCCTGAACCCTAAAGCCTAAACCCTAAACCCTAAACCCTAAACCCTAAACCCTAAACCCTAAACCCTAAACCCTAAACCCGACAGACAAAGCTCGCGTTTCCAGGCCGTGGCCGAGCACAAGAAGGCCACGGAGGAAGCCGAGGAAGCGAAGCTGCAGGCCGCTCCGGTTTTAGGGGTTTAGGGTTTAGGGTTTAGGGTTTGGGGTTTAGGGCTCCTGTGGCCTCTTTTGGGGTTTAGGGCTTCAGGGGTGTATGGTTTGGGGTTTAGGGCTTTGGGGTTTGGGGTTTAGGGTTTTTGGGGTTTAGGGGTTCAGGGTGTATGGTGTTTAGGGTTTAGGGTTTAGGGTTTAGGGTTCAGGGTGTAGGGTTTAGGGTTTAGGGCTTGGGGGTTTAGGGCTTTGGGGTTTAGGAGTTTGGGTTTCAGGGTGTATGGTTTGGGGTTTGGGGTTTAGGGTTTGGGGTTTAGGGTTTTGGGGCTTAGGGTTTGGGGTTTTGGGTTTGGGGTTAAGGTTTTGGGTTTGGGGTTTCGTATAATTAAATTAGGGGCCTAAATAATTGCCTATACTATTCGGG